ATGCCTGAAGGAAGCAGGGGTCCCAGCAGGGCCAGTTTTCAGAAGACACTTGCCCAGAGACCAGGAACACCAGCTCCAAGAGCTGGTAGTGGAATACCACAATGTATTCTATGCCAAACCTGGGGAAGCAAGAGCAGTAGTCCATGCCTGAGGGATGTGTCATACGAGAGACCAGGAGGCAAATCCCTCACTAACTCCACGAGGCTGTGAAGTCTGAGTTGGAAAAATGTTAGCGAAGGGGATAATCTGGGAATCTAGAAGCCAGTAGTGTAGTCCCCTAGTTATAGTGCCCAAAAGGGATGGGGCTCTGGGCCTATGCAAAGACTTCTGGAAATGGAATGCAGTGGCAAAATTCAATGCTTTCCCAATGCCAAACATTGAGGAAATGTTAGAGCAGATGGGACAGTCCTGGTTTATCTCTGTGCTTGATATAACCAAAGGATATTGGCAAATACCTATGGTGGCAGCAGACCAGGAAAAAAAACACTTTTGGAGTGCAATAGGGCTTGTTCGATTTCCGGTACGTACTCTTCAGCCTTCACAGCCCAGCAGGCACATTTCAGAGACTCAGACCACGTCTTAGCCCCCCATCAGGCTTATGCCTCAGCCTACATCGATGATGTATTTATATTCTCAGAGACCTGGGACTAGCACCTAGGGTGCTGCAAAATGTTCTCCAAGAGCTGCAGGGAGTAGGACTAACAGCCAATCCTGCCAAGTGTATATTCACCCAGTAAAAAACCACACATTTGGGGTCTCAGGTGGGGCAAGGCCAGATACACCCTCTGGAAGACAAGATCAGGGCCATAAGCTCCTTTGAATGACTGAAAATGAAGAAGCAGGTACATTCCTTCTTGGGACTCACCAACTATTACTGTAAGTGCCAGAGTCCTGTGTTGTATACTCCCAACTTTAACTGACCCTTTGTTTTACAGACGGACACCTCAGGAATTCCAGTAGGGGCAGTCTTGACACAGGAGGAGGAATCCAACGAGTGACCAATACCTTATATGAGTCGTAAGTTGTTCCCTCATGAACACCAATACTCTATCATTGAGCTGGAATGTCTGGCCATTAAATGGGCAGTGGAGCTATTCCAGTACTACCTGCTGGGCTGGCCTTTTACACTGGTGACCAATCATAGATTGTTACAGGCTGGAAGGGACCTCACAGATCATCGGGTCTAGCCCCCCTGCTCTAGGCAGGAAGACAACTGGGGTCAAGTGAGCCCAGCGAGGTGACTGTCCAGTCTCCTCTTGAAAACCACCAGCATAGGTGACTGAACCACCTCTGCTCTTGCTAACATTGTTACATTGTACAGCTTGCTTTTAAACTTAAAGTACATTTGTAAAAGCATCTACAAGCTCTATTTTCACTACAAATACATCTTATATAAAATAATAATGATATAATAAAAGAAAAAGAGAAAGGAAGGAAGAAAAGGTAGAAAAAAGAAAGAATCCCCAAAAGGGGGCAAATACTAAAAGAGGGGCTTTTGCCATATGGAGGAGCTTCACATTTGAGGGGGAAGGGGGTGGGGCAGACAAAAGGGTTTCTTGCTACAAATGTGGGTATTCACATACTTTTGATTGATAATAGTTACCTTTCACAGACCCCTTAGACAGACTCATAGATTGTTAGGGGCTGGAAGGGACCTTGCAGATCATCGGGTCTAGCCCCCCTGCTCTAGGCAGGAAGACAACTGGGGTCAAGTGAGCCCAGCGAGGTGACTGTCCAGTCTCCTCTTGAAAACCACCAGCATAGGTGACTGAACCACCTCTGGAGAGAGTTTATTCCACAGTCTGGACATCATGCCCCCCTAAGGTGACTACAGTCAGCAAAAACTTACAACGCTCGGATCATGCAGTGGGCATTAGCTCTGCAACTACTTTATTTCACAGCCCAACACCAGCCTAGAAACAAGAATGTGGAGGAGACCAACCAGTCAGAGGGCAACCTTGCCATTGATCAGGAGGTGGAGGATGTTATGTGACAGGCTCAAAACTCAACTGCTACCTCATTGGCATCCATGTAGCCAGTCTGAGGGCAAGCTGGCCGGCACCAGGCAGCTGGAAAAAGCATCATCAGTTGGTCCAGCTCCATAAAGCTCCAGGCTTAAAGGGAGCCCAGAAGCGGAGCCACATGGGAGAAAAGAGATAGCACCGGCAGCAGAGCCAGACACTCTCCCCACAGCCGGAAGGGACCTGGCATATCTGTTTGGGACCAGCATGCCCAGAGGGGCAGCATGTGCCTGTAGTGCCACTGGGGTATCTGTGAAGCACCCAGATGTACTCCCCACATCCTTCAGGGAGCCAGCAGCTCTCCCCAGGGCTGAAGTCCCTGGAAAACACATAGAAGCCCAGACCGCCCAGACGGCCCTGTGAACTGCAACAGCCAGGTTGCTGCAGCTAGCAAGCCAAGCACGCATGACCCAATACCGCTCCCCAGGAACCGTGACAACCCCTGCAGGAGCGCTTAAGCGGGTCAGCTGGGGCTGAGAGAGGGAAGCCCAGTGGAAACTGCCAAAGCCTCCAGCGGGGAGAACCTGGCACAGGACCCTACTGGAACCACACCCCACCACTGAACGTTCACAGAACCAGAGTGCCCCAGCAGGGTCTCAAAGGATCATGAGCAGTGCATGAACATGGGGAGGAAACAGGGCATGTCCACATCATGCCCACAGGCTGATGCAGTGGTCATGAGCCTGTCACACACAGGTTTCCCTTGCTTGTATGCCAGATCCCATTTACACAACCACAAAAGTACATTGACATTTACTTTTTTTGGCACCCTCCCGACTGCAGAGCAACTCTCTGTCAAATGTAATTTCTACACTAGAAGTAGGTATCCAATCTGAATTAAAGGAAAGTTCATATTTTGCCGCCTCCTATACAGTTTGAAGCTTGCTTACAAGCCTTGACAGTTTTGAGCCCTTGAAGCTGATACAACCTGGACTTGACCACATTTACGGACCAGCACCATGTAAAAGTTATCTTCACATAAATTAGACGTGGGATTCATGTTTTTAAATGTGCTTCAAGCAATCTATTCTGTTTACTCATCCTTATGCTCCAATAGGAGACAATACTTACAATTCCCTAAACTCACCAAAAGTATTCAGAACTCTTGGTAGAGATGTGTGACAGGTCACCCTCCCCAGCGCCATCTTCCGGATCATCCGTGCCTTACATGGGGCATCCTTGGAGTCCTCTTGGACCTTTGCTGTCCCACTCTAATCTCGTCTGCCACGTCTTGATGGTATTAGTATGCGAGCGGGAGACTACTGATCCTATTGGGTATGTTGGGGTCTCTCCTATAAGGTTCTGACCCCGTACCCAAGCCTTATGGGCTATGCGTGGCTCCTACCACCCCAACACCACGCCCCAAGCCTCGCAGATGTAATGGACGTTATTCTGTCCCTCTCTCTCTCCATGCCCTCTCTGGCACTAGGACTCTCCGCAGTCCCATCTCTCTCTCTTTCCGTGCCCTTCTCTTGGGCCTTCTCAGTAACGCCACCGTATCTCAGGGCCTTCTCAGTAATGCCGCCCTTCTCTCAGGCCTTCTCAGTAACGCCGCCCATCTCTGGGCTCACCACACCCGCACTGGGGCTCCTCAGTAACGCTGCCCTTCTCTGGGCTAGGGTCTATACACCCCGAATGCTGCGCCCTCACTGGCGCTGGGTTCCCCACTCTACTGTGAGTCCCCTATGAGGCCTCCTCCAACCCCTAATAGCCTCACCCAAGCAACCAGTTTAACAAATAGCAAACACAAACACAAGCCTCTTGGCTACAACGTAAACAGAGGCCGCCCGGCCATAACAGCATTCAATCCTACCAGGGATCCTTTCTCTCTCCGCAGTATCTGATGCAGCTCCTTCGTCAGGCCTCTCCTTTGTAACATGGCTGAGAGCTCCCTCCTCCTTGGCTGCTGGACAGCAACTGCCGCCTGGCCTCCTGCTTGCATATATATAGGAGCCAGGCCCTCCCCCTTCTCATCAGCTGGCTAGGCAGGTGTGGGTCATTATTTCCCACAAGTTGCCTCAGCAACCGGCACCTGAGGAGTCTTCCCGGCTCTCTCAGTAGCAGGCACCTTTGTGCCCTGCTACAAGGTGATATCTTTTATCAGACCAACTAAATAGTTGCAAAAACATTTCTTTATTTGCAAGCTTTTGGGCTCATGCACCCTTCCTCAGGCAAAGGAGAATGCACTGATTGTAATATTTCTCCCAAGTAGAAATGAAACTTCATATTGCACAGGAAAACAGAAAGATGTTATAGGTTCCCCTGGGTGGAAAAGTTCATTTTATGCAAAATAGACTCAAATAAATATGGAAGCAGTCTGTTTACCTCCAAGGTGTCTGATGGTAAGCAGGGTATTGAAATTATCTTCCTTCTTGTTAAGATGTTTTTTATTGCACAGGAGAGGGGGTTGATGGAATGTCTTTCCTGGCTGAGGCAGTTCTGTTGTGCATTAGTTGGTCTAATAAAAGATATTGCCTCTGCCAAGAGTTCTCAGTACTTTTGCCTATAGACCAACATGGCTAAAACCTGTATTCCTAAGCTTGTCAAGATGCTTTTGGTCATCACCATTCTCCTGGCACTTTGAAAAGCAGTAAGAACCTGTTTCTCTTGCTTTTGATAAGATATCCCAGACTCTATTCCTCACCTCCTAGTTAGTGCCATCCACCTATTGCTTCTCAGTTAATCCCAGTCACTGCTGTACTTCTGATTTGCACAAAATCTACAGGGCCTATATTCTTCTCAATGCCAGAAAGCTGCTGGGGATGGAAGCTCATCTGGCAAACAGCAGCAGCTATGCAGAATGTAGCAATACTCTCTGCTGAATTGTTTAACATAGCAAACAAAACCTAAAGTAAGGTCAAAGAATATTAAAGAGATTACAAGCAACCTCAGTTTCTCAGCATGTTTGTATGGGCATGTTTATAATTCCACAGGTCACAAAAGCAAGAACAGTTGGTTATCAGCTCCTTTCTGTCTTACCTTGCAGCTTTTTCAGGACAGCCACCTCCATCTTGAGGACCTGTTTAGGCTGCTGTGCTGACTCCACCTTCAGGGCCACATTCTCTCGGGTCAGGAGATCCATTGCTTCATAAATCTCACCAAAGCCCCCACCACCAATTTTCTTTAACTGAACAGAACACAAATGCATGGGTTAGTCATAAATGATGAAAGAGATGCTGTACAATCAACAGCCAACTGCAGAGAGATGATGGCATCAGGCCCTTCACTGCACGGTAACATATTAATCCAACTCGATGCTCTGTCTGTACTGTACACTGGCTACTTTACTGCACAATAAAGTCAGAGCCTTGCTCCCTAGTGAATTTATGCTGTACTATGCAGTGAACATAAGAGTATAAAGAAGAGGTCAAGTTCCCTGGTCTCTCTCTAAAAGGCACCAACCCTTCACTGCACAGTTATGAAAGGGCCAAACTCCCCACCCTCTATGCAGTGGATCAAGCATGTTCAATAAGCACTAAGATGTGAAACCAGCTCACCAGTCTGCCTCTACTGTACACTATTCCCTCTGCTGCACAGGAAGGCAAAACCCCGGCTACACCATTTTATCTGTGCTATGCACCAACCCTTTGCCTACACAGTGATACAAAAGTCTGGTTTCTCACTCTGCCTGCCCTCTGCTCTTTACAATATAAGAGAGTCAAGTAAGGGAGAATGTAGTTATAAGAAGGGGTGAACCAATAGAGGTTTTGGGGGCCAATACTGATAGCCGACATTTAAGGAGGCATATCAGCCAATATCGATCCAATAGCTGACACAACTGCCTCCAGGTGGTAAGTCCAGTGAGGTGGAAGGGGCGTGGGGAGGGAAGGGGCATGCAGGGGGGTCAGAACAACACCCCCTGTGGTGAGGGAGGGGGCAGGGGCAGGCACTGCCCAGTAGGGGTGGGATGGGGTCAGGGATGGAGGTGCAGCCTGGGGGCGGCTCCAGATGCTGCTTGCACCCCATGAGGGCAGGGGTGGGGGGGTGTGCCCCCAGATCTGCGTGGCGTGGGGTGGGCTGCAGGTGTGGGGTGCAGCCTGGGCTTTTAATGCTGGGGGCTGGGCTCAGAGCAGGCTCCAGCAGCATGGGGAGGAGGCTGCAGCCACCTCAGATTTCACCGCATCTCCACTCCCAGCCTCATACCACCACCCACCGCCCAGCACAGCCCCAGCTTTTCCCAGTGCTTGGGTGGAGACAGTACATTCAGCTGGGGCTGCGCCAGGCAGCAGTGCAGGACTGGGAGCAGAGCTGTGGTGAAATTTGGGGTGGTTGCAGCCTCCTCCCAGTGCCATCAGAGCCCTCTCCAATCCCAGCCCACAGCAAGAAAAGCCCTGCGCCATGCTGGCTCCAGCTCCACCCCACAGCTGCTACCCACCCCACCCCACC